ACACCTGCCTGTAGTTATCAAGTGCTGCTTCAGGTCCTAATTAATTGGTTCAGGTGTGTTTGATCAGGCTTGGAGCTGAACTCAGGAAGGTGGCTCTCCAGGAACAGGGTTGGTGTCCCCTGCACTAGGGTATACTGTGGTATACATCGATATATATCCACTAGGGCAGTGGTGTCAAACTCAATACCTGGAGGGCTGGACAAAGACACAGTTTCAAAGTCATTTGCAGTTTATAAATGTCACATCTGGAAGAGTAGAGCGGCACGATGGCTCGGTGGTTAGCACTGTGGCCTCACAGCAAGAAGGTTGCTGGTTCGAGTCCTGGCTGTGCCAATTGGAATTTCTGTGTTGGCATGAGTTTTCTCCGAGTGCTCCGGTTTCTCCGACAGTCCAAACTAAATTGGGTGTAGTGTATGAACGTGTATGGGTGTTTTCCAGTACTGGGTTGCAGCTGGGTTCTTCCTGAATTGCAACTGCGCATGAAATCAACACATAACACTCGCTTCTTCTTCTGTATTGTTTAATGGTGGTTGGCAAACCAGTATATGATGTATTTACAACACTCAATGGGATGGAGAGTGAAGGTTTGGTGGAAAGGAAGAAATTTAAAACCACAACAAATTATAATTGTTTCCTAATCAGATCTGAACAGAATACCATTCACTTGTAATTGTTTCCGTGCATTCTGGAATATATCCATTAATATTGCACCAGTGCACCCCCGTGAACCCGCAAGTGTGTTCCACCTCTGATTCAACTAGGCTGAGCAACATTTCTGACATGTCAGAAAACCATCCGATTTGCAGAAAAAAAATAGAGTTTAATCGTCACTGCGTTGTACACAGCACGACAGACGCTACATGATTAAGACAAAAATTTGACAGGATTCAAAAAAGAGTGGCACAAATCAGTATTCAGCTCAAAATCTGACTTCAAATCACATGGGCCAAAGGAGACTCTGGAAAAAATTGCAGTCCTCAAAGTCTAACTAAGGAAGTATTGACATCGAATTGTGTTGCGATTTCACTAGCAGTTCTTAGAAGAAGTGGGCACAGCTTTAGAGGCCACACTTTAAATAACAGAAACCACAGGACGATGCAGGATATCACACCCTCTGTGGGCTCCAGCCAAGATCTTTCCTTCAGATATCAGTTCTACATAACTTAAACAGCATCTGATTACGAGAACTAGTGACGTGCACATACGTTTTCACACATTTTGTCTTTTAACATCATTAAAAGATCTACATTAAATCTCACACAATTTTTTTCCCGCTTTTTGAAAGTTTTTTCAAAGTAATTTTTTTTATGAATTTATTTTAATTTTTCTTATATTGATTAAACGTATTAATTATGTGTATTTCAATCTATTATTTAGTTTATTTTAATTTATTTATTTAGGTTATTTTATTTACTTATTTAATTGTATATTTTAAATTTAATTCAATGTATTTTATTTGTTTATTTCAATATATTATTCAGTTTATTTAATTCATTTATTTAGTTTATTTATTTATTTTTTATTTACTTATTTAATTGTATATTTTTAATTTATTTCAATTTATTTTATTTTGTTTATTTTAATTCATTGTAATTTATGTTATGGATTTATTTTTATTTTTGTGAAATGTATTTACTATGTTTATTTCAATCTATTATTCAGGTTATTTTATTTATTTATTTAGTTTATTTATTTATTTATTTTTTATTTACTTATTTAATTGTATGTTTTTAATTTAATTCAGTGTTTTTTATTTGTTTATTTTAATTTATTTTAATTTATGTTATGAATTTATTTTTATTATTTTAAACGTATTATGTTTATTTCAATCTATTAATCAGTTTATTTAAATTTATTTATGTACTTTATTTTTTAGTTACTTATTTAATTGTATATTTTTTTATTTAATTCAATTTATTTTATCTGTTTATTTTGTTTATTTTAATTTATTTTATTGTATTTTTTTTACATTTTTTTATTTTAATTGATTTATTTTGCTTATTTTAATGTGTTTATTTTATTAAAATTTTATAATTTTGTTTATTTAATAAAAAATGATTATTTTGTTTATTGAAAATCTAAATCTTTTTTCAAATAGTTCCCAAATGTTTAACAGATTAACAAAAATTTCACAGTATTTCCTATAATATCTTTTCTTCTGGGGAAATTACTGCCTCTTCATTTTGGGTGGAATAAATTCAAAGTCATTAGATTACTAGCCCCCTTATGATTTTTTTTCTCAATTTACTACAGAAAAAAAACATTATTACATAATGACTACCCAAACTTATCTTATAAACCTAACTAAGTCTTTAAATTGCACTTAAACTTAAATTTACTGAACAATCAGGCCAACTGATGAAAAGTTTGTAAAGAAAATTTGAATAAAATACATAAACACAGTGCACATCATGTGGCTGCTGTATTTTGTAGTTTCTTAAAATTAGGTTTTTGGTATTTTATTTTGAAATACTTATCAATATCATTGATAATATGTGATAAAAACATAAGACACTTTAAGTGACAGAAACCACAGGACGATGCAGGATATCACACCCTCTGTGGGTTCCAGCCAAGATCTTTCCTTCAGATATCAGTTCTACATAACTTAAACAGCATCTGATTACGAGAACTAGTGACATGCACATACATTTTCACACATTTTGTCTTTTAGCATCAGAAAGCAGACACCGAGATCTACATTGAATCTAATCACAATTTTTTTTTAAGTAATTAATTTTATTTTCTTGATTTTATTATTTTAATAAATTTTATTAAATTAATTTATTTTGTTTATTTCTATCTAGTTATTTAGTTTAATTTTTTACTTGATTAATTTTATTTAATTCAGTTTATTTTGTTGATTTTTATTTACAAAATTTATTTTAAATTATTATTATTTTTAATTGATTTATGTTGTTTATGTTTATTTTGTTTATTTTATTTTAATTTTTATTTTAATTAGATTATTTTGTTGGTTGAACATTAAAATCTTTTTTTTTATTGTTCCCAAATGATGTTTAACAGATTAACAAAACTTTCACAGTATTTCCTATATTTTTTCTTCTGGGGAAATTCTTGTTTCCCCTTCGGGTAGGGAACTCCAATGCTATTAGTGGATTTGAACTTAGAAATCCACGAATGGGAGGATTCGGTTCACAAGCCGCTTGTCGGATCCTGAAACGGACATGTTAGCCGTGCTTTTCCGGGCTGCTTCGGCCGTGGGTTGGAGATGGTTTATCCCCCAGCTCCGCGGCCGGACCGACTAGAGAGGCGTCCCCTTCTTCCCGGAGGTGCACAGTAGGCTCACGCGGTCTTGAAGGGCACTTTTTTTCTGCTCGTGCTGCGTGTCCCTCCATCCTCACCACTCTTGACGGTGGAACAGCCAGAGGGTATGTGGCGATTCCTCAGGTTAAGTGCGCGATGGCGGTCAATCCGCGTGGCGCCTCTTCTTGGCGGGGTCCGCCTCGTCTCCCATCCAAAGCCTGTAAGTTATCTGCCTCCCTCGGAGCTAGAGCTTACAAGGCTGCGGGCCAGCCTGCTTCCGCCTTGCATGCGATAGCCACCTACCAGCGCTACCAAGCGCAGGCGCTGGCCGAGCTGCACGAGGGTGGGTCCAACCCAGGCTTACGAGCTTCGCACCACAGCCGACTAAGCTCTTCGGACTACTAAGTCCGCTGCGTGTGCGTTGGGGAGGACGATGTTCACATTAGTGGTCCAGGAGCGCCACCCCTGATTAAAACTTGGCTGATATGCGCAAAGTTGACAAAGTCCGCTTTCTTGACTCCCCCATATCCCAAGCTGGCCTGTTCGATGACACCGTCTGTGAATTCACCCAGGAATACGAGGCGGTGAGAGAGCGATTTGATGGGTAATGTCACCTTCGGCGGGGCCGTAAGCCCGCTCTGCCCGCTGTACCATCCATATCTGCTCCTCGCCGAAGGCGCCCGCCTACGAGAGCTGCACCGCCCCCGCACACGCCTTTGGCAAAGCGGGCACATCGAGCACCTCAGAAGCAGGCAGCCCCCTGCCCAGAACGCCGCTAAGTCTGGCAACGGGCCGCGAAGCGTCCCTGGGACAGGCCATCTGGAGAAGAGGGAACTTGCTCTTTCCCCGCTTGAGGGCGGGGCCCCATTTCCAACGGCACTTTTTACTGCCATGAAAACATCTATGAAAGAGCCATAGATTCCACTTCCCCGGATGTGACAGCCCGAAATCTGCCAGTCTGAGACACTGTGCTCTCTAGCTCGCAGGTTCGGTGCACTCCACCAGTGGCTCACAAGCGCTGGGGGGACGGTTTCCTTTCCCCCAACCCTCGAGCCCCCATGTACAGTTGAAGTAATTCACCCCCCTTTGAATTCTTTTTTTAATATTTCCCAAATGATGTTCAACAGATTAAGGAATTTTTCACACCATGTCTGATAATATTTTTTCTTCTGGTGAAAGTCTTATTTGTTTTATTTCGGCTAGAATAAAAGCAGTTTTAAATTTTTTAAACACCATTTTTAAGGTACAAAATTATTAGCCCCTTTAAACTATATGTTTTTTTTACAGTCTACAGAACAAACCATCGTTATACAATAACTTGCCTAATTACCCTAACCTGCCTAGTTAACCTAATTAACCTAGTTAAGCCTTTAAATGTCACTTTAAGCTCTATAGAAGTGTCTTGAAGAATATCTAGTCAAATATTATTTACTGTCATCATGGCAAAGAGAAAATAAATCAGTTATTAGAGATGAGTTATTAACACTATTATGATTAAAAATGTGTTGAAGAAATCTGCTTTCCATTAAACAGAAATTGGGGAAAAAAATAAAAAGGGGGCGAATAATTCTGACTTCAGCTGTATGTTTATCAATAAGTGGTATTTTCAGGAGTATTGCATAGAAAACAAAGCCAAATATTACATTTAAACTCCTGCAAGAGAGCAAGCTCCTCCTGCTTTCTGTTCCCTTCTGTAAGACAGAATCTGCAGTTACACTAGAAACACTGCACTGGTGGAACGTTATATCAGAAGACAGAGCTGAACTATACTGAACTACAGATAATCTTCCAAGCCCAGGTGAGGACAAGATTCTGTTTCTGGTAAAACAATATACATTATATACTTTAAAAGTACATCTGATGCTTTGATTTATGTCCGTATTTTCTATAGTAATAATTATGAATGCGTTTCCTTTATTAGTAATAAAGATTTATGATGGATTTTTAACCCTTTCATGGATGGTGTCCACATTTGTGCAGTTGATTTATGAGAGTAGTTTTGTCTAATCGACTTGAGCGCAGTGTTTGTAGATTGACAGACATATATTAACAGGATGGAATTTTTCACAGTATTTCCTATAATATTTTTTCTTCTGATTTAAAACTTATTTGTTTTATTTTAGCTACAATAAAAGCAGCTGTATATGTTTTTAAACTATTTTAAAGTCAATATTATTAGCCCCCTTAAGCAATATTGTTATTTGATAATCTCCAGAACAAATGTTCAATATATAATGACTTGTCTATTTACCCTAACTTTACCCTAATCAAGCCTTTAAATGTCACTTTAAGCTGAACACTAGTGTCTTGAAGAATATCTAGTCAGAAATTATGTGCTGTCATCACAGCGAAGAGAAAAGAAATCCGTGTAGATGTCGTACAGCATTAGAGTGAGATGCGTTGCAAGTTGTATTTCTGTACCCCGCTAGTATATCATTTCTGTTTTTACAAATACTTTATTGTCTTGTATTGTAATAAAACAGACATTTAACAAATATAGCAACAATAATAACGAAGTAGGGCTTTCACATGAAATAAGAATGATTTATCGCGTGCTGTAAAGAAAATTTAAGGCATTTAAGGTGCTGATATACCAGCCTGATCTCACGAGAAAACGTAAGTATTTATTGGCTAATTCGTACGATATCAGTATCCGATTTATTAAAAGAAGACGTGATAGCTATCCCCACCCCTAAACCCAAGCGTCATTGCGTAATCGTACTAAATTGTATAAATAATATCGTACAAATTAATACGAATTAGCTACTAAATCAAAGTCACAAATTGACGCAAGATTGTATTGGATATACTATAACTAAATTGATTCAACATAAAGTGGGATACAAATGAAACCATAATAAGTCACCACAGTCAGCAGTAAATTTAAATTTTGGATGATTTGCGAACATCATTCACTGTAAAAATTTGCTGGGTTTCCACGCAGTTGCTTCATGTTGTCCACATCGATTAAGTTAACTTAATTGTTTTTACAAATACAAGTTGACTGAACATAAAACAATGAAATTATGCCAAACAAATCTAAATAATTGTGTTGATTTATCCTGTTATAAATAATTAGTTTGAACAAGCAGCAGGAGTATTTTTGCACCATCGTATGCTGGAGAAATTTAAATTCAGTGGCCTGATGTGAAGTCCGTAGCGTTCTTTTGAAGCTTTGAGAAAAACTGATGCGTGTATTTTGTGCACAGGTTGTCCAAAGCTTTTTAAAATTAAATTATATTTTAATTTGATCGTATGTAATGTACTGCAGGTGTTTCATTCTTAAGTTGACAACTTCGGGAGCAATTCGGGGGCATTTCATGCATGCCCCCGTGACAAACCAGATAATGGACGCGAGAAACTGCTCTGCAAAACCTCTGCATTTCTCGGCAGATGCAGAGACTCGGTGGGTGCAGACAATAACGTCAAACACCCGTGTGTGTATAGACTATCCTGTCACAAAATGCGGCGTAAATCTTACATGATTGAGATGTTTACATGTTTACACATGATATTAACGTACTGTAAACTGAGTAACTCAATCATTTTGACTAACGTCTGTCTTTAAACACTTAAAGAGTACTGCTGACCGTATCAACTAACTTTGCCTCTGGCTAAACGTAAACAAAGAACAACGATCACACACTGACCAAATCTGTAGAGACAGGACCATCAACACCAACTGGAGCTGCGTCTTTATTAAAAGAAGACGAGTGGCAAATCTGGATTTCACCATTTCCAGATGCGAAAAGCTCTCGTGTAAAAAATGTTCCTTACAAACGTATTTCTGTCGCTTGTTAGCATGTCGCGAGTGGTACCCTCATCTCTGGAAAATGGAAACCTTTGTTGCAGCACATTTATAAACACAACACTGACGACCCAGGTCTCCGAATAATTCCTCTTCTTCCACTTGTTTTAATTATAGTTGGCAACACGACGTGGCGTCTCTCTGCCATCTGAACACTGTAACAGGTAGTCTTCGAAGCTATATTACATTCACAATAGAGCGCGCTGATTTGTTCGAAGTCTTTCTCATGAATTATGATGTTATGATGTGCAGGCCAGTACAGAAATCCAATCTCCACGCTGGAGTTTATACAAGGGTCTCATCACCGTGACGTAGCTTCCTGAAATAACGCAAAAATAACCAATTTTCACTTTTTAGTGAGATATATGTGTCCTAATAGTGTTTTTAGCAGCGTGGGACACATACACGACTGTCGACAGCTCAAAAATTGACCCTTTAAGCACACAGTTAGATTGGATCTATAAAATTTACTTAATTTATTTACGCAATCATACTTAAAGCAAACAATTTAAGAGTGTCTCAAAAATAAATCCACAATCTATTCATTTTAAATATTATTAAATTAATTTATTAGGCAAGTCCACTTGCTGACTTTCCACCACTGTTTCGTCGCCCCCTGTTGTTGCAAATAATAATACAAAGGTAAGTGCTTCAAGTAGAAAAGCCTGCAGTGAAGGCTCGCGGTATTGACACGAGGGCTGATTCTCAATTCCAAGAACGCAGAGAACAAACTTGCGTTCTTGTGGAGACCGGTCTTGCCAGGTGACCTCCGAAGAACGAACTCGGGAGATCAAGAGAATAGAGAACGCTTCCTGTGAGAAATGAGATGCAGCGTTCTTCCTGATGCTGACAGGAAGGCGCTTCCCACCTCCAGTCGCAATGACTTCTGGGACTTCTAGAGCGAGATCAGTGCTCAAGTCTGCATCAGTGCGTCCTAGATATCAAGAACACATCCGGGAAATTTCACGCGTCCTCTGTTCTTGCGGTCTTGAGTATTGGAACTGAACTTAGGGAGCTGATGATGACGTTACATGAGAACACGAGGATGCAAGACCGTGACCTGCACTAGCTAGCACAACAACTCTCTTAGATACACATTGAACCATTTAATGATTATTAATGCAGTCATCTAATCAGGATCTGCCATTCTACAATGATGTCTTGGGACCAACACTTCTCAGCTATGAGAGTGGTTTCCACCTTTTATAGCATGTAGTTTTTATGAATGCAATACAACTAGTAATTTGCGAATGAATCGTGAAACAAAAGCTAACAGTCTCTAGTAAGTGCTTATCCTCGGAAATAAACTAGTATTCAGAGTTATGAAGATGTCAAGCGTGTATTGGTTTATTAAACAAACTATTTTTAATGTAAAAAGTATGTTTTATAATGATATCCTTTAGATCAGCGGTGTCCTGGAGGGCCCGTGTCCTGCAGATTTTAGCTCCAACTTGCCTCAACACACCTGCAAGGATGTTTCTAGACAGTCTAGCAAGAGCTTGATTAGCTAGCCCAGGTGTGTCTGATTGGGGTTGGAACTTAACTTTGCAGGACACCGGCCCTCCAGGACCGAGTTTGGGCATGCCTGCAGTAGATGATTTAATCCAATATGATTTTGTACAGGTTCATTTCTATCTCTGAAACTGAAATGTCGACTGTCGAAGCTATGAGTTCTTCATCATATGCCATCCAGCTTCCACCACGGACACCAACAGCACCGCCTGTGACTGGTACCAGTTCTTCTGTGCCTGTTCACATGCAGCACGTAGCAAGAGTTTTGTCTCCTCACGGAGTTCAGGCCTTTCTGAAAGGCCATCCAAAAGCTCTTGGGGTGAGAGTTTTCTTTTAAACCCAGACAGTTGTTTTAAATGTCAGTATAGCACACGTTAACACAAAGCATACATTGTTTTTATGGTTTCTGTTATATTGTATTCTTATTGACTTGCTGATCAAATAACATGTAATGTTTAGACCAGGGGTGTCCAAACCGGTGTCCTGCAGATTTGAGCTTAAACTTGCCTCAACACACCTGCATGGATGTTTCTTGAAAGCCTAGAGAGAGAGCTTGATTAGCTAGCCCAGGTGTGTCTGATTGGAGTTGGAACTAAACTTTGCAGGACACCAGCCCTTCAGAACCGAGTGTGGACACCCCTGGTTTACACAGTCTATTCTGAAAGAAGCAAACCATGAACAAAACTGGAATACTGAAAAATATTTAACATGATGGATCGAGAATTGCTCAATAGTTTTGGGGTATCTTTATAGTATGATAATAGTTTATTCACTGTACGTCTTACACTGCTTCACCTTACCCAAAAAAACTAACACTGTTCTCTCTTATTCCTCTCAGACTGTCCAGATAATGATCGGTCTGTTGTCTCTCCTGTTGGGAATTGCGTCTACAGTGTATGCAGACTCTGCTTTTGTCTTTACTGGCGTTCCTTTCTGGGCGTCTGCCATAGTAAGAAACAATCATACAGTTCAGCATTTTGCCTTAGATAACACAAGCTACAGTGGGTAATCAACCAGAATACATCTTACTGTCACATTTACAGCCACTGAAAGGAGATAATAAATAAGATGTGATGCTCAACCACTGAAGACACATGAACTGCTTTGACAACGTTGTTGTTCCTTTTATAGACTTTGAAACTCTTGTTCAAAAATATGCTAATTTATATTCTGAAAGTGCAAAAGAGATGAGTAATTAATAACAGAATTTTATTTTTTGGGGTTAAACTATCCTTTAAGCTAGAATGAGGGCTTTCACATCTGTGGTTCGGTTCATTTGGACCGGATCAAGGGCAACAAATGATACATTGTAGCATTTTCTGCTGTCTTTGGGTCCTTTTCACACCACACTGATAGCTTTGGCCTGAACCAGTACAAAAAAACAAAACAAATGCAGTCTGATAAAATCCACATCACTCATTGGGCAGGGGCCTCATGTATCAACGCTGCTAAAACTTTGCGTACGCCAGATTTCACGCTCACGTTAGGATTTACTAACGATGAAATGAACGGGCATTGTCCCACGCCAACTTCACATTTCTTGTGTGTGTTTGTTTGATTTCCATTGGCGACTCCTAGAGGCAGTTATGCTAAATTGCTCACCACAAAGTATCTTTAAGCCATGCAATCGCAGCTGTATGAGTCGGGATCACCCGCATGTCTAACAGGTATATAAGGTTTCCATACCATGCAATTGACCGGCCAAACATTAAGATTCTGACTTCAACTGTAATCCTCCACTGATACATCCACTTTGCACCACTACCGCAGCAGTGACTGCTCCAACTGGAGCTACGCTCTCATCTTAGCCTGCGACATCTACATCACATCATTGTTTACACAGACATCAGTAATCCAATTATTTACTTTTATATCATTAAGACAATAATATGTAAAAATGTGTACATGTTCATGTTTCCGTTCTACATCTTATAATACATATAAAACCCCACCTGTCCTACGCCACCCAACCCACTCCAAGCTGGTATCATACCTGTGACCTTCCGCATGGGAGTCAGTTGCTCTACAGAGGAGGCTAAGGACCATGCACTCTAGCTTCTCATTACGTTATTACATTCCCATTCAATGCTGGTTTCCTTCGGCGTTTCACACAACAGAAAACAGCTATGAGTAATTAATTACCATAGTGGTCAAAATGACCGCATGCATCTCAGTGTCTGCTACTTTTCCCCAGGATTTTACAATGTAGATTGTGTCAAAGCAGCTTCACATAGAAAACTGTAGTGAACTGAAACAGTGTCAGGCCAGATTTCAGAGTTGAAGTTCTGTTTAGTTCAGTTCAGAGTGGTTTAATCTTCACTGCTGAAAGTCCAAACACTGAAGAGCACATCCATCCATACGCAGCTCCACAGTTCTGAAATCAGAATGTGGTGAGGAACAAACTTCACCAATTGACCAAAGCGAAGGGGAAAAAAACTCGAGAAAAACCAGGGCACGACCATTGGACATGACCATCTCTCCTCTGGCCTAACTTCCTGTGCAGAGCTGCAGTCTAGGCGCCGGTGCTAGTGGTTATAGTTTTTGATTGGTTCTCATGTGCTACAGCAATGTTCTTGTCAGTTATCCCATTTAGTTTGTGTGTGTTTATATCCCCTCAGTTTGCTGTACCCTCTAATGCAAAGGTGTCAAACTCAGTTCCTGGAGGGCCGCAGCTCTGCACAATTTAGTTCCAACCCTAATTAAACACACCTGATCAAACTAATTGAGTCCTTCAGGCTTGTTTGAAACCTACAGGTAAGTGTGTTGAAGTAGTTTTGGAACTAAACTTTGCAGGACACCTGCCCTCCAGGACCGAGTGTGGACACCCCTGGTATAAACTGTGATCTGCAGCTGCTGTGATTAAACCCACCAGCTCACTTTATTCTGTGTTTGATAGATCTAGTGTGTGACTATGAAGAATGCAAATGAGGTTCATGTGGCAGTAAAATGCTCATTCTGGTTGAGTACAATGTTTATTTTCCAACATAAGCTTTAAGTTTTGCTCTTCTCTCTGTTCTCAGTACATTATTGCAGGGTCGCTCGCCGTTGCTGCGGAAAACCAAATTAATTCACCAGCCGCTTTATGTTTGGTATGTACACAACACTTGTTCTTTTAATTTGTCTAAGCACTGGTTGCTTGTAAAACTTGGTCTGTAAGGATTTGTGCATAAATGCACGATGTTTCTAGCACTCGATTGTTGAGCAGAAGAATTCACCCTCACACGCTTCCTGGTGTATATGTCACATGAGCTTTTTCCTCCTCTGTTTAACCTTCTCCCCTACAGCACACACCTGCACAAAACGTTTGTTATTGGATAAAGTTGTAAGTAGGGCCAGACGGAATCTGCGGACTTTGCTATTTCTGCAGAGAATTTTGGTCAAAATCTGCTGAATTATTTAGGCAGTATCATAACTAAAACCTTAATATGTCAAATAAAAAAATATATATTTTAAACTTTAATGTTTAAAATGCAAATCCAATAAGATTCACTTCATTTGGTAAACAAAGCAAGTCTCTCATATAATATCTCTACTAAAAGACAGAAAATATTAGTTATTAAATTAACGTCTAACCCCACCCCATCCCTAAACCCAACCGTCACAGTACTATAAAAATATTTAATATTGTCAGCGCCAGTAGTGTAGTGGTTAGTGTGTCGACACATACACTCCGGTCCTCGCGACGACCCGAGTTCGATTCCACCTTGTGGTCCTATGCTGATCCTTCCCCTATCTCTGTTCCCCATGCTTTCCTGTCAATTCTTGACTGTCCTATCAAATAAAGGTGGAAATCCATAAAAAAAATTAATATTGTTATACAGTTCCTTAAAAAAAACTGTTATATTGATGTGCATATCATACTTCCGGGCTGGCCGCATATTTGGTCTAGACTTTACCTAATTAGTACGCAATTCCTGTGTGCTCGGACAGAACTATTTGTGCTTGAGCACCACCAAGTGGTGTTTTACTGCAATTTCAGCAGCTTGATGCATGTGAACTAAAGTACCAATCTCATTGGTTAACCAGTGTCACAAGGGGGGGGGCGTGGCCAAGACTCGTGGGATTGGAGTGAAGCTGCACTCACAATAGAGTTTGAGCTTGCGAAATTCTGTTGTACGGCACTGGGGAAAAGGGGCGGGATTAAACAAGATGATTAGACATTTTAAAAAGCCAGCGATTGCTCCATGTTTTCAATTTCTGTTCAGAGAGATCATGTTTTAATCCTCGATTGGTCTCACAAATTACGTTATTTTTTCTTTGGGTATATACAGCTGCTCAGCTAACATGAAAATGACTTCCTCTGAAGACCCGCCCTCAATAGGCTCTGATTGGTCAGCTAACAATGTGCTGTAATTCGCAGATTGTTTTTATAATTCCTAAACTTTCACTGTAGGTGTCGCTAAGCTAACTCCGTAAAAGCCAGTGTCTCCCTTTGCATTGAACTTTAAGCATCTTAGATGTTGTTTATGTTCACAGCTACATTATACATCAACTAAAGTTTCAAATATGATACCACAGTGTACCACCCCTTTAAATAGCATATTAGTGTGTCCGGTGTGCGTTACTTTCAACGTCATGTGTGTGGCCTGTACATTCATTGTGCGTTCCTTCAACATTTAAACCAGTGGATGAACTGAAGTAAACAAAGTGTTTGTCTAAACTTGCCACATTCGTGAGCATATGCAAATGTTTTGTCAGTGAACGCAACATTTCTGTGGAGAATGTATTCAGTTTTAAAAATTTGTTCAATATATTCTTGTACTTTCGCATGGCATGTTAACACCTTTTTTCTGTTTTTTTGTGCCTCTACTGTAGATGAACGGTTCACTTGGAATGAATGTTTTCAGTGCTATAGCTGCAGGCATCGCCATTATTTTTCTTTCACTTGATTTGGTTAATGGACCAAACTGCCGATACTGCACCTGGCATTATGATAGTTCTACAGATAACATTGAGAGACAATATAGGGTATGTCACCAACTTTTATTCTGATATAATTTTTATATTAACTTTTTATTTAATACAACAAGATCACTGTAAAAAAGCAAGCCTAAATATGCACTCTTCTGCATCTAGTAAGTGTTTTAAAGATATGGTAACACTTTATTTTGATGGTCCATTTGAGTATTAGTAGACTGTCGGCTTAATATCTGTTGATACTGCTCCTTCAAGTATCCTTAGCGAGCACGTGTCAACTTACACTAACCCTAGCCCACAGTCTACTCTAATTTAATGAGAATGTACATGCAATTTTAATTAAATTAGACCATCAAAATAAAGTGTGACAAAAAATATAACTGCTCATTTAATGTCACAGAATGTGTTTTTAAATACCATGTTAAAATTGTTCTCTGCTATCTCCACAGAAGGTAAGCACAAGAAATCTCAAGTAATAGTTTTACAGGTCCATTTAGAAACAAAGAAAACGGCTCTAGAATGAAAAAGACAAGTATATTTTGATCGACTGCTTTTTAAATTCCCAAACTTACAGCTCGAAATTATTCACATGTGCACACAAACACACACAACTTTTCTCAAGGATGAATCATTACATGTTTTACTATCATTTATTCATGACTCATGTTGGCTATCTCAGCACTCTAAGGCCCCAGTCACACCAAACTGTGAGAAAAAACTAAAAGTTTATGTTGTCTGCGCCTCATGATTTTGATGGAGCGCTGTGTGCCTGTAGTTGAAAAAAGTCAACTCCGTATGGAAAAAGCACCTGATGTCATGCACTCCAGTACAAAGAACACTGATATAGTAGTTACCTAGAAACATAGAAAGCACACTCTTTTCTAAATCAACTAAAAGAAACAAACAGACAGGCTTTCGAAGATTACTGTTGTCCTTTTATTCCAGGAAAATCACAGTAAGAGCATGGCGACAGGACACTTACACATACATCAAGCAGTTCACATGTGTTTGTTCTCTCATTACAAACATATACATCAAATTTCACAGTATTCACATTACACTAACGGAAGACAGTTAAACAGACCTCATGCCTCTTTGGGTGGTGCTGGATAAAATCCAACTTTCCCTAATTTTACATTGTGATGACAAGCCGTTATGAGAATATAAAATTAATAATTATATATTTTAAAATTAAAAGTACACTGTAAAAAATATATATTCAATTAATTAATCAAATTAAATTACAGAAATTTACTGTAAAATAATGGACAGTAAATTACAGGAATTTACTGTAAAATAACAGCCACTAAATTACAAAAATTTACTTACATTTAAATTTCTGTGATTTAATGGCCGGTATTTTGCAGTAAATTTCTGTAATTTAACGTCCGTTTTTCCACGGTAAATTTCTGTTATTTAATGGCCGGTATTTTGCAATAAATTTCTGTAATTTAACATCAGTTATTCTACAGTAAATTTCTGTTATTTAATGGCCGGTATTTTGCAATAAATTTCCTTAATTTAACGTTCGTTATTCTACAGTAAATTTCTGTTATTTAATGGCCGGTATTTTGCATTAAATTTCTGTAATTTAACGTCCGTTATTCTACTGTAAATTTCTGTTATTTAATGGCCGGTATTTTGCATTAAATTTCTGTAATTTAATGTCCGTTATTGTACTGTAAATTTCTGTAACTTAATGGCCGGTATTTTGCATTAAATTTCTGTATTTTAACGTCCGTTATACTGCGGTAAATTTCTGTAATCTAATGGCCGTTATTTTACGATAATTTCTGTAATTTTTTGTCTATTATTTTACATAAAATTTCTGTAATTTAGTGTTTGATATTGTACAGTAAATTTCTGTAATTCAACAGAGGTTATTTTACAGTAAATTTCTGTAATTTAAAGTTTGTTATTTTACAGTAAATTTCCGTAATTTAATGTCTGTGATTTTACAGTAAATTTCTGTAATTTAAAGTTTGTTATTTTAGAGTAAAGTTCTGTAATTTAATGTCTGTCATTTTACAGTAAATTTTTGTAATTTAATGTCCTTTTCACAGTAAATTTTAGTAATTTAGCGGCTGTTATTTTACAGTAAATTTTTGTAATTTAGCAGCTGTTATTCAACAGTAAATTTCTCTAATTTAATGTCCGTTATTTTACAGTACATTTTTGTAATTTTTAGCAGCTGTTATTTTACAGTAAATTTCTGTAATTTAGCGGCCATTATTTTACAGTAAATTTCTGTAATTTAATGTCCATTAATTTAGCGGCCATTATTTTGCAGTGAATTTCTGTGATTTAGCGGCTGTTATTTTACAGTAAATGTCTGTAATTTAATGTTCGTTATTTTACAGTAAATTTCTGTAATTTAATGTCCATTATTTTACAGTTAATTTCTATAATTTAGCAGCTATCATCTTACAGTAAATTTCTGTAATTTATTGTCCATTAATTTAGCGGCCATTATTTTGCAGTGAATTTCTGTAAGTTAGCGGCTGTTAATTTACAGTAAATTTTTGTAATTTAATAATCGTTATTTTACAGTAAATTTTTGTAAATTAGCAGATGTTATTTTACAGTAAATTTTTGTAAATTAGCAGATGTTATTTTACAGTAAATTTCTGTAATTTAAGGTCCGTTATTTTACAGTAAATTTCTGTCATTTAGCGACTGTTATTTTACAGTAAATTTCTGTCATTTAGCGGCTGTTATTTTACAGTAAATTTCTGTAATTTAATGCCCATTAATTTAGCGGCCATTATTTCACAGTAAATGTCTGTAATTTAATGTCCATTAATTTACCCGGCCATTATTTTACAGTGAATGTCTGTAATTTAGCGGCTGTTATTTTACCCCAGCTGCAGATTTTTTACCCCAGAATTACACATTTTTTACAGTGTAATATTTGATATATTTAAAGCCGTTCAGGGCCAGGGCAGCTTACATCGGGATCTATGGACCCTAAACAATACTTTCAACTAAACTTGTCATGCTAGTTTTCTTAGTCTCCACCTATAAATTGCACAGGACGACACTGCTCAAATGAGCCTCTCGTAGACTTCTTGAAGAGGGCTATTTGACCGCAGAACAACCAGCACTTCTCAATAAATAAATCTGCTTGTTAGGAGTCTCTTGGTTTGTGTTCTGATATTCCCTACACTGCGAAGAGATTAGATACTCATCTTGGTCATACTACTCATAGGATTTTCATGAGAATGAGATGTTTGAGGATGTTTCATGTACTCAACTCTTATTATTAAGCTATGCCTAGGTATATACAGATTTTAATTTTATAGCACCTTTAAACATCACTTTAGCAAGAAGGTTGCTGGTTCGAGTCCCAGCTGGACCAGTTGGCATTTCTGTGTGGAGTTTGCTTGCTCTCCCAGTGTTGGCGTAGGTTTCTTCTGGGTGCTCTGGTTCCCCCCACAGTCCAAACACATGCGCTATAGGGGAATTGATGAAACATATTGGCCATAGTGAATGAGAGAGTGTATGGGTGTTTCCCAGTACTGGGTTGCGGCTGGAAGGGCATCCGCTGTGTAAAACATAAGATGGAATAGTTTGTGGTTCATTCCGTTTTGGCAACCCCCTGATAAAATAAGGGACTAAGTTGAAGGAAAATGAAGGACTGCAGATTTTGGACTTCTTGTTGTTGTTATCCTTTATGCTCATGTTGAATGTTCTCTCAGGCTCTCTTCGCAGGAATCAGTGTTGTGTTGCTGCTGTTTGCCATCCTTGAGCTAGTCATCTCCATCTGCCTGTCTGGTTTTGCCTGTAATGCAGACAGCTGCTGTAATACTCAGGTGAGCAAGACATCAGCTGATATATTTAGTAAGAGTGTGACGAGACCCATGGTTTCACAAGAACAAGATGAGATTATTACACAATTTTTAAGAACAATAACAATGGAAAATAATATTTTATTCAACCAAAAGGTGGTTTTGAAAATCAGCTAAATGGTTTTAAACATCTATTTTAATCAATTCTATGCAGTAAAGGACATGCAAACGCTGTGAAATATTTAGCTATTAACTGTACTCACTGTTTCCCCCTGTACAATTTCAAAACTCCTTTACTCAAATGGAACATAACAATATAATGTCATTTTTGATATTTCATTCTTTATGGTTTTTCTTTTTTTTGGTTTCAATTTCGTTTAGCAACACTTGACAAACTTTGCGCTCCTGGATGCGAGTATAAAGTAAGGACTGATGGGAGAGAGTTATATTAAGGGTGTTTCATTTCGATTTAATCTCGCGAGATGTCGTCACACTATATCTCGTCACACCCGTAATATTAAAGCGTAAAGGATAAAGCTACTCTAATTTATAGCTAAGGTACAGATTTCAGATTTTTTTCACATTTTCTTTACTAGAAGAATCTTACCTGAGCAAAATGTTTATTTGCTATATCACAGGCTGAATCGCAGTCTGAACAACTGCACTTTCAACATGATTCAAAATGGAATAGATGATTTAAACAGATTGTACCATTTCAAAAATTGAAGTGAAGAAAACGAAACAAAAACACAACATTATTCGGAAATTGTTGTGTTAAACATTCTGCCACAAATCTGCCATTTCTGCATCCTGTGTAGATTCAGCATTGGCCACCAGTGGTGGAAAGAGCACTGAAAAAACTCAGGTACTCAAGTAAAAGTACAATTACTTGCCCAAAAATTTGGTGCAAGTAGAGTGAAAGTATGTGTAAAAAGTAGCACTTTAAAAACTACTTAAGAGTAGTGAGTATTACACTGTGAAAGACACTAACAACAGGTGCTACGTCATAATCACACCCACGTAGAGAAAGCTCCTGATTGGTTAATGCGTCGAGAATGATTGAAGTTCAGATTTTCGAACTGGAGTGGTTCGCGCAGCCTACGCGTTGACGCATAGCCCTTTGCCGTAGCTGTCGGCGTCACTGACGTGCATCTCTCACGTCGCACCGACGTATATCGCAAGCTCTGTGATTGGTTGGCTTGGTGGCGCTGACGAGTCTGGGCGAGCCCAATGGAGCGATTGTTTACAAGTGTGGAATCCCGTGAAGGAGCTCCGGATGGAAATTTTTGTTTTGTGTTTACCTCATGGTTAAAGTTGTTGCACGTCCGCCGGTTCCTGCCTCAAAATGAGCGAGTTTGAGCCACTTTCACATTCAAGAAGCGTTCAGAACAAACAAAACACCAGCGAAGAAACTCGACACAGAGGAACATTTACACCTCACTGCCAACTAGCGTTTCGGAAGTGTTAATGCAGACCAACAGAGACAGCAGCAGAAGTATAAATGCACAGCTACACGCGTTGCATGCGCCGTGGGTTACACTGGTCACTTGACGCAAAAATATAAGCCAGGCTTTAAGCTTATACTTCTGCGTCAAGTGACCGGCGTGACCCACGGCGCATGTAACGCGCGTAGCTGTGCATTTTTACTTCTGCGCGCTGTCTCTGTTGGTCTGAATTAACACTTCCGAAACGCTAGTGGGGAGTGAGGCATAAATGTTCCTCTGTGTTGAGTTTCTTCGCTGGTGTTTTGCTTTTCCTGAACACTTCCTGAATGTACGTACAAGTGGCTTAAACGCGCTCGTTTTGAGGCAGGAACCGGCGGACGTGCAACAGCTTTAACCATGAGGTAAACACAAAACAAAACTTTCCATCCGGAGCTCCTTCACAGGACTCCACACTTGTAAACAATCGCTCCATCGGGCGATCAGCGCTACAAAGCCGATCAATCACAAAACTTGCGCTATGCGTCGTTGCGATGTGTAGTTAAATTTTTTGAAAGGTGCGCGTCAGCAACAGCAACAACCATGGCGAGGGCTATGTGTCCACGCGTAGGCCGCACCGTAGCATACACGTGCACTTGAAGTAGAAGCATAACTGGGGCTTAATTCGCGCCATCACGCCGCAGGGTATCTATTCTCGCCTTTGCATTGACTTGACATGTAAATCACTCACGCTTGGCGCTTCTTCCACGTCTGGTGTGAACACAACACTATGCTTCCCAATGTTTTGCTGCATTTATAAAGCGTCCCTTCTTAAGGTTGTTTTGTAAAAAAACTACTTACTTAAGTGCAATTGCTGAGAAAAACTACTCAATTACAGTAATTTGAGTATTTGTAATGTGTTACTTTACACCACTGGGAATAACCCACCTCTCTTTTTGGGTCCGATGAAGTACGGACTGCAGAATCCACACTTCGTCTTAAAATCATGCAATAGTAAGAAGGGATAAAGCAGCGTGTGTGATTTCTTCCACAGGCGCCAACTGTTTCACAAGCTGTGTATCCACAGATCACTTACACCTCGGAGGTAAGAAAAGCTTGAACCATGGTTTAAATGGGTAAAAATGGTACCAGTACAATAAATAAAGCTTTTTCCCGCAGGTTCCTGTGGCCAGCAACCCTTTAATTCAACACCCTCCTGCAGGAGCTCCTCTACAGTACTCTCAATACAAATAAAGAGTGGCCAGATCTGCGATCTTAATGATTTGTATTCATTATTCAGATATAAACAGATTTGACAACACTTTACAATAACAGTACATGAATAATGATGTTCATCTGATTTATTTACAATACAGTGTGTACAGTAATATTTTCTGTCTTTCAGTAGAGATATTATATGAGAGACTTGTTTTTTTACTAAATCAAGTGAATCTAATTGGATTTGCATTTTAAACATTGAATAAAAGTTAAAAAGGTTACTTTTTAGTTATTATATTAAGGTTTTAGTTATGATACTCCCAAAATAATCAACCAAATTCTGCGCAGTGATAGCAAAAAATGTCAGCAGATTCCGTCTGGCCCTAGTCATGACTTTACTTGGAGGGGCACATCACCATTAACTTAACCCTAACTCATCATGAACTCCTGTGTTTAAACTGTTCATGCTGACATTAACAGAGCACTTTTCTATTGTCACTAGACGGGTGTGCATGAGGAGTTCATGAACAGTTAAGAATGGGTTAACGATGATGAGCCCCTCCAAGTAAAGTCATGATATAATTACACATTAACATGTCATGGTTCATGATGGTTAAATTGAGCATAAACTCATTAATAATCAATCATGTGCTAACAAGATATTAAGATAGCCGTTATTCACATATGAGCTCATCCAACACAATCTCATGGCAATTCGTAAATTTTTCATTTAGTGGGTAATTCGTACAAATTCGTACGATCTAATTTGTAGATTTTAGTACGATTTGCTCATCCCCCAATGATGGTTGGGTTTAGGGGTGGGGTTAGGTGCCACGCCTCCTTTTTAAAATCGTACAATTTCGTATGACTGAACTCACACGAATTATCCACTAAACTGCCAAAACGTAAAATACTTACGTTTTCTCGTGAGATCGGGCTGGCTCATCTCACATGTGGTTAAAGTTCATGATTAGCACAAGGATTAACTCATCATTAGTTCATGATAATGGTTAATTTACATATTAACACATCATTATTCATGTACTGTTTTTGTAAGGTGTTGCCCCATTTGTAACATATTTTTAATTGTTTTTAAAACTATCTTTTGTTGTGTTTAATTAATAAAAGACAGAAAAATAAGAAAACGTATACTGCTGCTGTATTTTATTTGAACTGTGTTTATACTATTGTATGTGTAATTAAATTATGAATTATTTTTGGGGTGATTACTAAAATATGTGTGTAATAATGTAATTTTGAGTAAAGTGAACAGGCGTAAATGATCAGTTTTAAGTCAGGTTTTTGGAATTAGTGTGATTAAACCCTGGTACATAGTTGGACCTAAAGATCCATCTTCAATGATTCACGTTTTTTAACAATACAAACATATTAACCATAACAATGAATGACATCATGTAGAATAATAAACAAGTAAAATTAATAATAATAATTATAAAATAAGATAATAATAAAACAGTACAGAGGAAAATTATCATTCATTTATTTTCTTTTTGGCTTAGTCCCTTTATTAATCTGGGGTCGCCACAGCGAATGAACCGCCAACTTATGCAGCATATGTTTTATGCAGTGGATGCCCTTCCAGCTGCAACCCATCTCTGGGAAACACCCATACACACTGGAAAATTATCAAATTAAATAATATTAACAAAGTCCTTATAAAAGTTTTGCTTTAAAAAATTTGCTTTAAATATAAAATAGTAATTAAACAATTGAAGACAAAGAAAATACTGCAAATGTACATTTGTGAATATAATATTGACCCAATAAAATAAATTGCCTATAAATTCTGTTCTGTTTGTCATGAGAAAAGTAACAAATTATATCACACATGGAAAAATAAATGATAAACTTACAATTTGATGAAAAATAGACAGATAAATCTGATCAAAACACATTAACATGTGGGCATTTGACAAAATATGATCAATCGATTCAATGCTTGAGTTACAGAAGACACAATTTGAGTTAGGGGCATAATCACTTTTTTTAGGTTGTAAATGCATTTGTCTTCAACTAAAAACTTTGGTTCTTTTTTAACAATCACTTCAAATGACAAGTCATCACCTTGGAATGATCAGGTTCTCTCTGCGTTCTGAATGATTATGAGATTTTGAGCCTTAAAGTTTTTGCATTCCACATAGCAAACAGTACTGCTTAGTGTTTAACATTTGTTTTTAAAATGAAAAAAAAAAAAAAATTAAAATGTAAACAACTTCTAAAAACACATCCCATAATGTAAGTAAGTTGTCATTTAATAAGAATATGTCAAAAACTCAGTTTTGACAAAAATGTCAGATAGAACCTTATGATTGTAAGGTGACCAATTGGCATTTCATTAAATGAGCAAGGCCATTAGGTAGCCTTAATCACAATATGAAATTCTTTATGAATAACAGGAAAATTATGTTTAACCATAAAATCGCCATGAATAGAAGTTCCCTTGTGGACCAACTAAATCACAAAGATAACATTTTTTTCATGCCAATTCTTATAAGAAATCCATTTATTCTTTGCTAAGATGCTTTTGTTGTTCATCTTTATTTATTTATTTATTTATTGTTTATTTAACAGTAAACTATTACAGCATGAAACACTATAGAAGGAATAGAGGATGCCAGGGAGATAAAACAGTAAAAAAAAATACAATAAGTTACACAAGACATACATATAAAGTAAAGCTTAAAATGAAAATACACTAAGTGTAATTAATTCAAAATGAATTACTGATGTGACAGGGAGATTTTAAATAGGGCATGACGAGATAATGTTTCCCTAGCCTTAGTGTTTCCTGAACTGGAAAGTGTTTCAAAGTATTCCCTGCTGAAAAATCCAGCTTAAACCAGCCTTGGCTGGTTTTAGCCACATTAATCTGGAAGTGATTGCGTTGATTTTGGCTTTTTCGGGGTAAATTATTGTGATCTCCCGATAGCTACAGATAAATACTGGGAAATCTCTGTAGACTGATGGCATTTCATGTCATTTAGCCTTATAATCTTAAAATGTCAGCAAAGTCACCTGTTTTGTCGTCACTTTAGACATTACGCTAGAGAATCATTCAAATGCTACCTCTAAAGTGATGTTGGTGAATTAGTAACAACTTCTGCTGTTCTGATGTCAGCAGCAGATGTGAAGGAATGGCAGAAGAAAGTAGTTCCTCATACAAAAGGGTTTTTACTTTTAGTCTCTCCGTGTTTGATTTTATATATATATATATATATATATATATATATATATATATATATATATATATATATATATATATATATATATATATATATATATATATATATATATATATATATATATATATATATATATATATATATATATATATATATATATATATATATATATATATATATATATATATATATATATATATATATATATATATATATATATATATATATATATATATATATATATATATATATATATATATATATATATATATATATATATATATATATATATATATATATATATATATATATATATATATATATATATATATATATATATATATATATATATATATATATATATATATATATATATATATATATATATATATATATATATATATATATATATATATATATATATATATATATATATATATATATATATATATATATATATATATATATATATATATATATATATATATATATATATATATATATATATATATATATATATATATATATATATATATATATATATATATATATATATATATATATATATATATATATATATATATATATATATATATATATATATATATATATATATATAAATATATATATATATA